CACGATCCATCTATAAGTGCAGTAACAGTTGAGTGTAGAAACCGGAAACCGGATTGTTGTTTACAGATGATTTCTTCACTATTCAACAAGTTGTATAACTGATCGTACACAATCTTCTCGAACACTTTGGCGACTACGGAAATGACTGAGATAGGTCGGTAGTTGTTTAAATCAAATGACTCGCCCTGTTTAAACAACGGAGTCACGGGAACTCCTTATAACCTCCTTACCGAGGGAAGGAGGTTATAACTCGCTAAATTTTAAGATGGAATCCCCAGGAAATTGAGTAAATTTAATTTTCAGTGGACAAAAACCTTGTACCAAAATAATTCAGTTAAAGGATATTGCATTCTTTTTTACATTTTTCAAGGGCTTAAGATGAAAAAGAAAGTTTCTCATGGAAGTCCGAGAAAATGAATGTCCAATTTCACAAGAATTGTGATTACACAGGTAAAGTTCTGAAAATTTGATGTGTAAGATGTAATTCTGTGAAATTTGACATTCATTTTCTCGGCCTCCCATGAGATATTTTTCGGTGTTACTACAGATGATTTATTACATCTTAAGCCCTTGAAAATGTAAGAAAGAATGCGATATTGTTTAAATTATTCTGGCACAAGATTTTTATCCCCTGAAAATCAAAATTACTCAGTTTCCTGGTGGATTCCGTCTTGAAGGTGATATTACACGGGACGATTAGCAGCGACGACTTTTAACGCAACACAGCGTTGCAATACTGGAACATTGTTGTAACCATTCGAAACAATGTCGCAACAATGTTGCAACGCTGTGTTGCGCTAAAAATCTTCGTTGCGAATCGTCTCGTGTAACATCATCTTAATACTTGTCAGACTATGTGTAAACGCGACCCCTACCAGAGGCGATTATTTGGCTGCCATAAATTTCAGCTTTGCTACAAAGATATATTGTACTGTGCTAAATTGACAAGTTGACCAGGAATAGGTGGTCCACCGCTTAAAAAGGGTATTAACACATCCACCCCCTCCCCCATCCTCATCCCAGCCAGCATTTCATCTACCCCCGGGCTTTATTCAACCGATCATTATCTTTGACACCAATGAAACGCTATATGCCAGCCAAAGGCTAAGCAAAGGTTAATTAGATGCATATTTCAAAAGTTTTCTCTTATTTCTTTTATTATTTCTCCGACTGTTTGTTTAAATCATGATTACAGGCCCGTAGGGATGGGGGTGCGAAAGGTGCGCCCGCCCCCCCCCCCCCCCAAACAGGCCCCAGAGGTCCACTTTTTTGTTGATCCAGTAAACGAGGCTAGAGTACTTCTAGCTGTTGCCGAGAAATTTACGGCATTTACCAAGAGCGCGGCAACAGGAAAAACATTAAAATAAGAGATAACACACTTATCCGCGGGAAGCTCATTATTTGATATCATGGCCTTGGGTGTTGGCGCTTATTTGGGGGAGGGCGCTTATTTGAGTAAATACGGTGTTCCGAAATCCGCGTGAATTTTGGTGCCCGCTACGTTTCCAGGCGTTTCCTAACTATCAGTTTTCAGGTTACGGTCATTCTGTAACTTACCCCTGAAGGGTCAGTTGATTGGAAGATATGCATGAATCGTGATGGCATCACTGGTCAATTTGTTATGGATATTCTTTTTTGCATGAACCAAAACAGACAACTGAATTAAAGTTTGCTGACCAGTTTCAAAGACGAGAAACGACGTTATATCAAGTCTGGCGCTGTAAAGGATGTGTTACATCTTGTTGAGGACTTGGACAGAGTCATGGCGAAATGTAAGGCGACATATCAAATAAGCCCCAACTCCACAACATGTGAAGCAAGAAAAGGAAAGAGCAGAGAAAAGATGGGAAAAGAGGAAGCTCGCAGCTTGTGAAAGCGGAAGAAAAAGTTGGCGCATGAAAATAAGAGTTTTTCCACACCACCGCTAAATGTTTGGTTCCAGATGGCGGTGCACCAAATCACTTGGTACCGTTCCAGATCAGCCTATTGGCTGCTCATAGAGGGGTCCATAAAGGCACATTGATTGATGACTCTGTATGACCTAAAGAAAATGATATACGCAGACAGGAGCCGATTACGAGGACGTTTTCTGAGCGACGAAGGTGCAGCTTTTACACTCCTTTTTCGTTTCGAAAATAGACAAGCACGCGAGCGAAGCGAGCGTGCGAGAGAGAGCCCCTTGCGCTAATGGTCAATAAATCCTCTGCGGTTTTAATTTTCATACGCGAAATCGACGATCTCTAAAGAAAAAGTAGAGGGTCTGTGAACAGGCTACGAAGGTGCTTGCTATTATTTTAGTGAACTTTACAATAGGTCTCAGGTGACTATGCTAACGTCATGAAAAGTCTACTTTAGGGCAGGAGGAAGAGATGGATGGGTTGGTGGCATTGGGTTTTCCATTAGGATCAACCCTACACATACAAAAATTCATGTCTTTATCACTACATTTAGAGCTAGCATACTTTGTTTGATCCACAAAATTGGCGCATGAAAATAAAAGTTTTTCCTCACCAC